ATAATATATCTGTATACATACAGCTGAATCACTTTGCTATACGCCAGAAACTAACACAATATTATAAATCAACTATTCTTCAATTTAAAAAATTTGCAATTTGCGTAACTGACAAAGGACTTGTATCCAGAATGTATAAAGAATTCTCAAAAATCATCAATAAGAAAACAGCTAAATTAAAAAAAATAAAATAGGCAAATGATTTAAACACACACTTCACCAAAGAAGACACACAGATGGCCATTAAGCCCATGAAAAGATGCTCAACGTAATTAGTCATTGGAGAAATGCAAATTAAAATTATAATGAGATACCTCTACACACCCATTGAAATGGCTAAAATGAAAGAAACCCAAACTGACAATACTAAGTTTTGGTGAGGAAGTGGAGTGACTGGAACTCTCATGTGTTGCTGGTGGGCATACAGAATGGTACAGCCACTTTGGAAGAGTTTCTCCATTTCTTTTATAAACATACACTTAGCACATGAACCAGCGATCCATTTCCTTTTTGCCCCAGAAAATTGAAAACTTACATTTAGATGAAAACTGTTATGCAGATGTTTCTAGCAGCTTTATTCATAACTGTAAAAAACTGGAAACAGCCCACATGTTCTTTAACAGGTGAATGAATAAACTGTGGTTCATCTCTGTAATGGAATACTACTCAGCAACAAAAAGGAACAGACTGATGATACAGGCAACAACGTGGCTGAATCTTAAATGCATTACCTTAAGTGAACGAAACCAGACTCAAAAGCCAAGATACTGCGTGATGGCACTTAAGTGACTTTCTGGAAAAGACAAAACTATAGGGATGGAGAATAGGTTCATGGTTGCCGGGTCAGGGTAGCGGGTGGGGGTGAGGTTAGGGTTAGGGATGGGGGAAGGGTTGGCTCCAAAGGAGCAACAGGAGAGAATTTTGGGGGGTGAGAGAACCGTTCTGTGTTTTGACTGTGGAGGTGCTGGACATAGTGAGCATGCACTAAATGTTAGATATCATTATGGTCGTCTGGTTTATATAGCACTTATCACATTGTAGCAGAATAATTTGTTTACATGCTTGTCTTCCTTTCTAGTCCAGGAACTTGGTGAGGACAGGAGCTGTATCTTGTTGATTTTTGTACCTGGAGGGGCTAGCCCCGTCAGTGCCTGTGTGTAAAAGATGCTCACTGAATGTTTGTCAAGTGAATGGAAGGATCATTTAGTGAGTAGTTACCGGGGGTAAGGATGCTGAAAGCCTTTATCCTCACGGTGCACATCGCCATCACCATCATCAGAAAACAGCCACAAAGTACCCGTTATCTCATGGAGCTCAAAGGTGTAAGCTGCACTCTGGCCTTCCTCTCTTCACACCCTCCTCCAAGTCGGGCCCTGAGTTGGGCAGTGCTTGCCCGCTCTCAGATGCACTTAGGAACTCGGAATCTCCATGGCTCCTCTCCCGCTGCTTTAAGCACCGGCAGCCTTTGCTCCCTTCAGCCCAGACCCACGTCCCGGCACTTAGACAGGGACATGGGCCCAGGTCAGGGCTGGAGGCGGGGATTACACAAGTGTGTCTTTAGTCATGGCCACGATGTAGGGCTTGACTCCTTCCGTCCATGAGCTCCCGGCCTCTTTGGGGAGCTCATATATGCTGCACCAACAGTTATGGGGTTCTAATGCTATCCAGAGATTTACTTTCAGTTGACTGGATCAAAATATGATGAATTGTCTTTATAATTAGGTAAATAATGAGCCGAAAGATTGCTTGTGTCAGCCTCCTGGGAGCTAGGAGTGGCAAGCTTTGGGTTCTACCCTTAGTCCTGCTCTATTTGATTTAGATCACGGTGAATGTGGATATTGAACACATTATGTTCATAGGATTTGTAGTTGGGAGATAGATCATATCTCAACAGATTAGACCCATAGGGAGGAATTAAAAGGGATAAATGTCAGTTTCTTCTCTTAGGTGCCCAAATCCAATAATGGACATGTTGGAATGCGGTGGGCTTAGTTAAACTGAAGCCCATGAAAACGACCTGGGCTTTTAGGCAGTGCAAGCTCGGTATGAAACCAGGAGCGTGATGTGGCTACCAGTAGGCTAATGCTATCAGGTTACATTAACAGAGGCATAGTTTACAGAACAGAGGAGGGGAGTGAGACTTTTACTCTCTGAGCCAGCTGACCTCACCTTGAGTATGGTGTTCAGTTCTGACAGTCATGTTTTAGTAAAGACATTTACAACCTGTAATGTCAGTGAAGGGCAATCAGAATGATGAGGTAACTTAGTGCCAGTTAATCTAAGTAAAGGTTGGAGAGATTTTGCCTGAAGAAGAAAGATTGGCTGCATCACCATAGCTGGCAATACTTAAAGGGGTTTCTTGTGGAAGAGTGATTCAACGATTCTCTGTGCCTCTAAAGCAGTGTTGTACAAGAGAACTTTCTGTGATGATGGGAATGTTTTACATCTGTGCTGTTTAATAGCTACTAGACAGCTGTGATTTGGGGCAATTAAAGTGTAGTAACTGAATTTTACATTTAATTTTAACTAATTAAAATTAAAATAGCCAAATGTGGCTACCATATTGGACACTGCCACTCCTCACACTCTAGAGGAGAAATAAAAGAAGAGAATAGGGGTTGGCAAATTTTTTTTTTGTAAAGGGTGAGATACTAACTATTTTGGGCTTTGCTGGCCATATGGTGTCTGTGCAGCTACTCAGCTCTGCCATCATAGTGTAAGAATATAGACCATGTATAAAAGAATCATTGTGTCTATGTTCTAATGAAACTTTATTGATGGAAACTGAAATTTGAATATGATATAGTTTTTACATGCCACAAAATAGTATTCTTCTTTTGATTTTTTTCTACTATTTTAAAGGTGGAAAAACCATTGTTAGCTCACAGGTTGTACAGAAATGGGTGGCAGGCTAGATTTGGCCTGCAGGCTGTAGTTTGCTGACCCTGGCTTAGGGTGTGGGTGGAAACCTTAGGGAGTTATATGTAAGTTCAGTAAAGGAAGATGATGATTAATTAGAGGTAGCCAGGGACGGAAGGAGCATCTTCAGTAGGTGGTGAGTTTCTTGTTACTACAGCATTCAGGTATAGGCTGGATAATGAACTATCTGGCAAGGGATGATATAGAAATATGTCTATTTAATACAACTTGTACTAAAATTTCCCCCTAATTCTGCAGGAGTATTGAAATCAGAATGACATGTGATTGCTCTAAAAGCATACTTGCTTTTTCGAGGGAAGCGTGTTGTTTTCCCTCACTTGGTACTTACTTTCACCTCCATGCTGCAGGAACAGGGACTGTTGAGGGTGGGGTGGCAGCTTCATTGCTTCAGCAATTCTGCCAAGTGTTCAGGGACCCCTGGGATGTGCCTTCCTGGGGGAGTTGGTTTGTCCATTTTCTTTCTTTCTTTTTTTTTTTTTTTTTCTTGCGTTATGCGGGCCTCTCACTGTCGTGGCCTCTCCCATTTGCGGAGCACAGGCTCCGGACGCGCAGGCCCAGCGGCCATGGCTCACGGGCCCAGCCGCTCCGCGGCATGTGGGATCCTCCCGAAACGGGGCACGAACCCGCGTCTCCTGCATCGGCAGGCGGACTCTCAAGCACTGCGCCACCAGGGAAGCCCGGTTTGTCCATTTGTGTGCAGCCCGGGAGAGGACCTAAGACGTCCACACCCTAAGAGAGGACACTCTCCTGTCTGAATACCACCTTGCTCTGTCCCTGAGTCTCCCTGGGGACACCTGGGGGACAAGATGGCCAGGGTTAGGAAGCTTCACCTCTAGTTAGTTCTTTCTGTGCCTGGGTCATGCCCCGTTCTGTGACCAGAGAAGGTCACTTCCAACATTTTCCCCTCCAGACAAAGGGGGAAACCGTTGCTTTCTGGGGACCTCTGAGTCTCTGTCCAGAATGACCTTGAGATCCCAAGTCCAATGGACCAAGGTGTGACGCCTTGACTGTCCAGGAGCTGATCGTCCAGGCTGTGGATGGCTAGAGATTGGGTTGTTTCTATTCCTGTCAGCTCTGCTTTCTTGATTTTTCTCTTCTCCCGTTTGCCTGACTTCTATCCATTTAACTTCTAATCAGCATCTCTGCCAGAATAAACAAAAATAAAAAGTAAACAGCTTTTTCCTGAAGGAGAAAATGGAAAGTGCTGGTTTGAAGTTTTAAATTTTTGTATGCCTTTATCCAAACCCCAAACTATTCTCATCGAAACAGAGTTTTCTCTGCATTTTTGTGAAGCACAGGAAACTTAAAAAACTTTATTTTGGGGATTTAAAAAATTGAGATATATTTGACATACAGCATTGAGTACAGTTAAGGTGTACAGCATAGAGATTTGCTACATTTATGTTGCAATATGGTTGCCACTGTAGCGTTAGCTAACACCTCTATCCCATCACATAGTTATCATTTCTTCAAGTACTGGGAACAATTAAGATCTAGTCTCTTAGCAAGTTTAATGTTTATAATACGATTTTGTTGTCTATAATCACTATACTGTGTTAGGTCTCCAGGACTTATTTATCTGCTAGTTTTAAGTATCTACCCTTAAACAACATCCCTCCTGTTTCCTCTTTTGGGGATTTTTTTGGTTTTTTGGAGGGTACACGGGCCTCTCACTGTTGTGGCCTCTCCTGTTGCGGAGCACAGGCTCCGGACGCGCAGGCTCAGCGGCCATGGCTCACGGGCCCAGCCGCTCCGCGGCATGTGGGATCTTCCCGGACCAGGGCACGAACCTGTGTCCCCTGCATCAGCAGGCGGACTCTCAACCATTGCGCCACCAGGGAAGCCCTCTTTTGGGGATTTTTAAGCATACACAGACATAGACAGGAGAGTACAATCAACCCCAGGTGCCCATTACCAGCTTTGACAGTGATTGACTCCTGGCCAGTCTTGTGTCATTGATACGCTTTGCCCGCCTCCTGAGTTATTTTGGACCAAATCAGAGGAAGCTTTTGATGTGGTGCATTGACACTAACATCTTGAGTCTGTGTTTTCTGTTTCAGATAATTGCCTTTGATGAGTTAAGGACGGATTTTAAGAACCCCATCGACCAGTGCAACCCTGTTCATGCGGTAAGTGGTGGGTGCTGGTGGCCGGAAGGGTGGTGTCAGCCCAGGCCACCCAGGGCCTGTGTAGCAGGGCGAGGTCTCCATGAGTAGGATGAGTGAAGCGCAGGCTCGGCCCGGGCTGCACCTCCATGCCTGGCTCGGGGTGGTCCTTCCTGAGGCGGCTGAGGTCTCCATTTATCATGCAAAGTTAAGTATAGCAGTCCCACCACCCGGGTGGGAGAGGTCTGTGTGCTGTGGCTGCGGAGTCCTCAAGGCCCCATGTTAGTGGGTTTTGGCTATGCCCCCTTGAACAAGGAGAGAGGCTCAGGCTGGCCACCATGTTCGCAGGTGTAGGAGCATCACCATGGTTGTCCCCGCTCTGCACTTGGCCAGGTTTCTCCGAGGGAGGCTTGCAGGGGGCTTGATGTATGCAGCTACTCACCCCATATCCGTCACCCGGGAAACATTCATCTCGGGAGGCTCTGCAGGCCTGAGGTCAGCTTGCCTCCCCCTGGGGAACCTGATGCTGTCTGGTTGTCCGGTCCGGATTCAGCATGTGAGAGACCTCCTGCCCCGGCACCTGCTCTTCCCAGAGTTCTGCTGTGCCATCTGGCTTGTCAGGCCGTGCCTGCTGCCCTCCCACGTGCCCTGGAATGGATGCAGAAAGAGGCCTCGACGTGGGGAGAGGAGGGGGACCTCATGTCTGTTGAGTGGGGGTGGGTGTTGGCTGTCCGCCCCTCTACTCAGTGCAGCCCACATCCCAGAGCCAGGCACCAGCCCGCCTGTGGACAGAGCCTTTTCCAGACACTTTCCAGACCAGGACCACTGGGCCCAAAGGATGGAGCTCACGGTTCATGCGAGTCCGTCTCTCAGTCTAAGCTCGCTGGGCCTGCATTGAGTTGAACTTCCTTCCAGGCCCTGGTTTCCAGCGCTAAGGCACGCTTTGTTTGAATAATTCTGTTGATAGTTTGATAGTTTCAGTCAGAACTGATCCCAGAGCTCTTCCCCCACTGCCACTTGTGGTGCTTTTTCTTAAGGATCAATACCACGGCATATCGGTGAAGAGAAAAACAAAAATGTCCCATGGTTAGTGGCCAATTTTTCTAGTGTGTATATATATATATATATATATATATATATATATATATATATATGAAAAATATATATTAGTATGAATATTAACCTGGAAGGCTTATGACATCATTCTTTAGTGACAGGGACAAGAGGTCTGTTCTCCTTAACTGCAGGCCCCCTGAAGAGGGCTGTGCTCTTAGGGAGGTACCAAAAGACCAGGGGAGCAGGCTTTGGTGTCACCCTCTGTAAAGTACAGGGTTATTATTGGAGTTGTTTTTTTGAGTTTTTACTACATGCTAGGACCTATATATATGTAACCTATAATCCTCACAGCTCTGCTAGACAGGCATTATTTACCCAGTTTATAGACTCTTATCCGAGGACTCAAAGCTCATGAGCAGTGAAGTCAGGATTGGAACCCAAGTCTGCCTGTGTTCTTACCACCTACTCTACAGTGTGCCTTTATGAGCCTGATTTTATAATCCCTTTGGCATCAAATTCTTTGATTCTGTGAAAGAGAGCCTAACCCTGTCCAAGTCAACTGTGTGAAGTGGAATTTTGTGACAAGTTGGAAGAATCCCTAAGATCCACCTGAAAACTTACTATATCTTATGAAACTTGTCATCATTAAAATCCATTTTGTTTCCAACTGCCAGCCTCACCACCCCAGTGATAACTTGGCTCCTGCAGGCCTGAAAGCGTTGCACCTTGGGTCTCCTTTCTCTCTGGATGCTTTTGGGTTTGGCCCCAGCATCACACACTTGGCTCGTCAACATCAACCAGGTGCACAGAGCTGCCCTAGTCCAAGAGGGTGCTTCTGTTTGGAATGCCAGGGAGTCAAGAGCCCGCTTTCCTTCCTTCTGGTGGCTTGGGCTCAAGTTAGAAAGCGGCTCACTTAGAACACCCAGAGTTTCTTGTGTGATCTCAGGGTAAATACTAGTGAAGAAATAGTGCCCTGCCCCTCAATTCCGTCGTGCGAATTCAACACTGGGGTGCAGGAGGTTGGCAAAACCATGAGACAGGTTTGTGGAGCCCGTTTCCATCTCACCTTGGCAGCTTCCTTAGTTCAGGCAGAACAAAGAAAATTAGGACCCGTGTATGTCCCACTGGGAGCTTCTGTGCAAGGTCAGTGCAAGGAGAGAAACTGCACACAGTAGGTGCTCAAATAACTATTTGTTGATGAAAGAATGAATGACTGAAGGGTGAGGTTGCATAGCAGAGAAGCTGGATCTCAACTCTTTATTCCTATTATTAAAGCCACAGTTCTTCACAGATGTAGGAAACAAACTTATGGTTATCAGGGGAAGTGCGGGATGAATTGGGAGATTGGGATTGACATATACACACCACTATATATAAAATAGATAACTAATAAGGACCCACTGTATAGTATAGGGAACTCTACTCTGTACTCTGTAATGACCTATATGGGAAAAGAATCTTACAAAGAGTGGATATCTGTATATGTATAACTGATTCACTTTACTGTACACCGGAAACTAACACAACTTTGTAAATCAACTATACTCCAATAAAAATTAAAAAAAAATAAAGCCACACTTTTAATTAGTTAATGAATTAATTAAGGAGTCTGGGCCCCAAAGGCCAGACATCTCATGGATTGACTCAAGCCCTTAAGTAAAGGACTCTTGTCTGAGATTTTTGTTTAGATCCATAAAAACCCTAAATGGAAGTGTGTTAGACACATTTCCCCCAGTTTTTATGATGTTACTCCCTGGCGGGAACTTAAACGCTTTGGAAGCCTCATTTAACTCGTCTTTAAGCTCTTTGGGCCCCTGTAGATCCTCTGAAGCTGTAGATCTCAGGCTCAGGGGGCTTGACAAAGCTGCTTCACTGCTCGGTAACTCCAGCCCTGGATGGACTTGTGTCACAAACAATTGCTGGTTGGTGTGGTGCATTTCTAAATGAATGTGCATGAGGCCCACTGGCTCTTTGGATTTAAGCTCCAAATATTGTCGGACCCTCTGGGTGGACCCCTCTTCCGTGTGTTAGGAAGGGGAGGAATGTTTGTTTTTACTCCTAGTTTCTCATGTTAACCCTTTCCCCTTCCTTTTGCCAGCTGGGCATTTAATATCACTGTAATGAGAAATGCCCTTTAGAAGATCTGACTTGCTGGGGAAGGAGCTAGCGTGTGTCCTGAACCTCCCTCTTACATGCCTGTTATCTCACATCTTTTCCCACTGTTCTCCATTTGGGCAGCCTCAGTGCCCAGCTGTGTTTGTACTTGTGTGTGCACGCATGCACACACACGTGTGTTGAGGAGGATGTGGTCTGTCTTCCTAGCCATGTGGATGCTAATTTGTCCTGATGTGGGCTCTTTCCTCTGGGCTTAAAGGGTGCACAGGAATCACTATATTTATGATTTAATTAGGGAAATTGCAGTATCCCAGCCACCTGTCTTCTCCTGATCCACGAGGAATCTCATTATGATCACATCGACCGCAACCAAATTGCCTCAGTAATGAAGCACTGGGAGATGCCACAGCTGTGTTCAGAGTGGCTTCAGAAATCACAGAAGTCACTGCGGGAAAGGGGAGGCGGCACTTAGTGTGTTAGGCGAGCATCAGCACCTGTGCAGCCCCGGAGCATCTTCCTTTGGCAGCAAGCCAGACTCTGGAGATAGACTTGGGCATCTTGAAAAGTCTTAGCCCGGGGACACTGCTGGTGTCTAATTGAGTGGGAAGATTGCTTCTCTAAATACAGCCACTTTAGAAAAATAAAACCAATGGGCAGAGAACTTCCCCACCTCACACACTAATCAGGCACACATGCTCTTCGTGGCTTGAATGGGAAGCCCTCCCGGGAACCCGACCGCAGGCTTTGGATTCATGAGCATGTGGTGCCCGTTCTGCAGTTTGACTGTCTTATAGGGACACAGAGGCTGCAGGAAAAAGTACAGAAACCTGTGCTGGGCTGAGAGGGAAGCTGAGCCCATGCTGTTTGCTGGGAAAGTTCAGTTAAGAGCAAATAACTATGACAAGGTAGATGGAGAAAAGCTCAAAGCTCTTTTTTTCTTTCAATTTTATTGAAATATAACTGACATATAGCAGTGTATTTAGTTTAAGCTGTATAGCATAATGACTTGACTTACATATATTGCTTAATTGCTTAATTGGTTAACATCCATCATTTCACACAGATACAAAAGAAAAAAGAAAAAAAGTGATGCAAATTTAGGGATTTATTCACTTAGCAGCTTTCAAATATGCCACACAGCAGTGTTAGCTATAGTCATCACGTTGTACATTACATCCCCAGGAATTACATCTTATGACTGGAAGATTGTACCTTTTGATCACCTTTATCCAATTCCCTCTCCAGCTCTGATTACCACAAATATGAGTTGGTTTTGTTGTTCTTGTTTTATTTTGTTTTGAGATTCCACAGGTAAGTGAGATCATACAGTATTTGTCTTTCTCTGACTTATTTCACTTAACACAGTGCCCTTGAGGTCCATCCATGTTGTTGCAAAAGGCAAGATTTACTTCTTTCTTATGGCTGAATAATATTCCATTATATATGTGTATACCACAACTGCTTTATCCATTCATTTGTCAATGGACACCTAGGTTTTTCCATGCCTTGGCTATTGTAAAAACTGCTGTTATGAACATGGGGGTGTAGATATCTCTTCAACAGAGTGATTTTGTTTCCTTTGAATATATCCGGAAGTGGAATGATGGATCGTGTGGTACTTCTATTTTTAACTTTTTGAGGAACCTCCATACTGTTTTCCACAGTGGCTGTATCAGTTCACATCCCCACCAACAGTGCACCAGGGTTCCCTTTTTTCCCACAGCCTCATCAGCACTTGTTACCTCTTTTCTTTTTGAGGCTAGTCATTTTAACAGGTGTGAGGTGATATCTCATTGTGGTTTTAATTTGCATTTCCCTGGTGATTAGTGATATTGAGCACCTTTTCATGTACCTGGGGGCCATCTGTATGTCTTCTTTGGAAGAATGCCTATTTTCCTCTGCCCATTTTTAATTGGATCATTTGGTTTTTTGCTGTTGAGTTGTATGAGCAGAAACTCTTGTTAGGGAAAGCCACTTTAGTGGGAGCATGGAGGTCATGACTGGGAGGGATCTGTGGTGGGTTCTGCCTCCTCTACTAGGGGCTGAATGTGGGGCTTCTCATGTTCTTTCAGCAGAAAATCTAACCTCCCCTCTCTTTTCTTTCTCATGCATCCTGATAGAGGGAACGGCTGAGGAACATCGAGCGCATCTGCTTCCTTCTACGAAAGGTCAGTGCAAGCACCCGGTAATGGAATTTGGATGGTCACATGGTCACAGTGGTCACACAGTGAGAGGGGCTGGTGAGGCTCAGTGCCTGCTGCGGTCCTGTCTCCCCACAGAGGCAAATGGTGGGTGGGGGGAGGAGGTGGGAGCACGTGATCACTTCTTTGGAAACCTCCAGAGACAGGAGGAGCTAATTAAAAGGGATGGCCATCAATCAGTGTCAGGACAGCACTGGATATTCGCAAGTGCCCTCTGGTTGGATTTAGAGGTTCTTTATCTTTGCATGATGATGGATGGCATTTACAGCTGATGTTGCCTCACAGCCTTTGTTCCTGTCTGATGCGGGGCTCAGAAACGCTCCCACCTTGGCTCAGCCAAGTTTTTAACTGATTGTTGGGTTTCCTTTGAGGTTTCAACCTGCCACTCAGCTTTGCAGTTTGATTGACAGCATCATCAGGAGTGTCGGAGGGGTGGGAAGGGAGATGTTATTAAAGCGGGAGCCAAGCATTTAGAGAGTTGCTCTGAATGGATGGGCAGTAGGTCACAGCTGCCCTCAATGCATTCAGGAAGCACACGTGTGCACGCATATTCACGTGTGCATGTGCAGCTCAAGTTTAGTATTTAGCAGGACTCTGTGACGTAGCTGGGGTACCCCTGTGGCAGAGAGACCAGTCTGCCATGCTCCGGTAAGGAAAGCGAGTACTTTTTTGCAGCAAAGTGTGGAGAACAGCAACTTGCATGTAAAACTAACAGTATCCATTGCCTGGAGCCAAAGGACATCCCCGATCTCTGTTCAGAGCAGATGCGCTACAGGCCATAGGAAAGCCACCTGTCAACCAAAAGAAGTTTTTGAGCCTTATGTGAATAGGAGAGAAACCAAATGCCATGCCAAAAATTGATGGAAGGGAAACAATTTTGCAAGCTTTTGAAATCTTCTCTATATTTCAATTAATGGTACCTTTCCTTGGGAGAGAGAGCTTAATCAAGAAGTCAATTATTTTTCTAGCTAATTACTTGTCCTTTAATGTTTTCCAAGAGACTCAGTATGTCATAGTTCCACATCTGTGTCACAGTGGGGAAGTAAGCTCAGATAATGAAAGTACTAGTGATCTGAGGAATAAAAAGTGATTAAGAAAATAGCGTATGACATTTGGTATTAAGGGTACTTCATGAATTTGTAAATTATTTTTCCAGATAATGTCTCGGACACCAATAACCTTCCAGCTGTCACTTCCCTAGACTCTAGTTTGTTCTTTAAGACTGACACCCAAGTGTCTTTCACACTGCAAATTGCCCTTTTTTCCCCATCTTGAATGTACCATCCTGAAAGCTCTGGCAGAGCAATAACCTGCATCCATCACATTGAGCTTTGCTCATTTTTCTGTGTTGCTTGACACCTGACTCTAGCCAGACAGCAGGCAATGGCCTGTGGCTGCCTCTGCCGAGGTCCTACTTTACAGTCCTGTGCTACACGGTAAATCCTGTTACTTAACCTATTTTGTGTAGGGGAGTTTGTATCTGCTAATCCCATGGTCCTCATTTGTCCTTCCCCTCCCCCCTCTCCCCTTTGGAAACCATATGTCTATTTTCTATGTCTGTGAGTCTGTTTCTTCTGTTTTGTATATAGATTCATTTGTCTTATTTTTTAGACTCCACATAGAAGTGATTTCATTTAGTATTTCTTTGTCTGACTTACTCAACTAAGCATAATATTCTCCAGGTCCATCCATGTTGCTGCAAATGGCAATATTTCATTCCTCTTTTATGGCTGAGTCATATTCCATTGTATATATACATACCACATCTTCTTTGTCCATTCATCTGTTGATGGACAATTAGGTTGCTTTCGTGTCTTGGCTACTGTAAATAGTGCTCCAACTAACATTGGGGTGCATGTGTCTTGTGGAATTATAGTTTTGTCCGGGTATATGCCCAGGACTGGGATTGCTGGATCATATGGTAGCTCTATTTTTAGTGTTTTAAGGAACCTCCACACCGTTCTCCATAGTGGCTGCACCAATTTACATTCCCACCAACAGTGCAAGAGGGTTCCCTTTTCTCCACACCCTCTCCAACATTTACTGTTTGTAGACTTTCTGATGATGGCCATTCTGACAGGTGTGAGGTAATACCTCATTGTAGTTTTGATTTGCATTTCTCCAGTGACGCTGAGCATACTGTCATGTGCCTATTGGCCTTTTATGTCTTCTCTTTGGAGAAATGTCTGTTTAGGTCTTCTGCCCATTTTTTGGTTGGGTTTTTTTTTTTTTTTTTTTTTTGATATTGAGTTGTATGAGCTGTTTGTATATTTTGGAGATTAACTCCCTGTTAGTTGCATCGTTTGCACATATTTCCTCGCATTCCATAGGTTGTCTTTTTGTTTTGTTGATGGTTTCCTTTGCTGTGCAAAAGCTTTTAAGTTTGATTAGGTCCCATAATAGTCTTTTCATTTCTTCATTTCAGCAGTGTCCATGACATAGCACAAAAACTTATATTTTACCACGTGTACTCCTTACATCATATTTGTATTTTAAAATCAAATTTAACTCTTTATTGTATTCATTACGGCACAGAAGGTCTGTAGCCTACAGTTTCCATCCCATTCCTTTCCTCTGTCTTTATGCCCTCTACCCTCTTTGTAGTCTGTATTTTAACCTTACAAATAAGTTCTCAAGCCAGTTCTGGTTCCTTGCACTGGAAAAGTGCTGCAGGGTGGTGGTGACGTATACAGGCTTCTGCTGCTTCCTGCCTGTGCCCCGATTATCTGTGTAACCCTCAGTGTGACTCTGAAGTGGGGGTGATAAGTACAGCACCCTCCTCGTGGAGTTGTGAGAATTAAATGAGATAATACATGTGCATCTAGCTCATCAATGCTCGGCACGTACTAAACGTTATTGTTATTATTATATGACACTTAGCTGATACCTAAAACTTCCTGTAACATACCCAAGCACACCCGTGGTGCTGAAGGAAGCTGAGGTAATCCTCGGCTGGCGGCAGCCCCCTTAGCACCTCCTCCCATTTTCTTGGGTAACTGTCATTTGACGTTTGAGCAGAGTCACAGGGCAGGAAGGCCTGGGCCTCCTCTCTCCTGGCTCATTTTGAATGGGCTTCTGAGTTCAGATTCCCAAGCTGTGAGCACGTGCTGGGGGCGGTGGAGAGGGTTGATGGACTTCGTTAGCATCACCACCTTCTGGGAACTGTACCTTCCAAGAAATTTCTTGGAGCTCATCTCCTAAACACCCCAGAATGTGATGCATCTCAGCAGCTGATTGTTGTTAAACCACCTCCTCAGCTTTCTCGGGAGAAAGGAAGGGATTTTCAAAGTGGATCCATTTTTAGCTCTATAATTATCAGAAAATGTGTTCTTTGGGTGATTGTCTGAACTGCAGGATTCTTGTGTCGATTTGTGCTTATGATTCATTTTTTCATGGCGAGAGCCACTTGCCTCTTGCGCTGTGCTCCCCACTGGGCATGCTGTCACTCTGAGGGTCACTGTCAAGTGCGGGTTTGGGAGCGTGGAGAGCGTGGAGAGCAGACGTTGGTTAGATGGCTGCCCTCGGGCACGCGAAAGGTCCTTGTCCGGAGGACACTGTCTAGGGGCCTTCTGTTGCGTCTCCAAGTTCAGGCAATGGTTAGAGGAAGTGAACTTAAGTGAGAGCCGCAGATTGGCATGAGAATAAAGAGAAACTTTCTTCATAAGCAGCTGTCCTCTAACCTTGAGTTTGGTCGTCCTGGGGGCTAAGAAATGTTCACCTCCCTTAGGCAGAGTTAGACAGCCTGACGTCTACCATGGTTTTGAGTTAGACAGAGCCCTCCTGAGAGGGGCGACTTAGTTGCATAGTTTGGGATGTCCCTTTGGTTTGACAAATCTATGATTCTCCATTTCACCCCCTGATTTCCCCGAGAGTGTGTCCAGTCTCACTGCAGGTTTTCTGACAGTGGTGGATGTAAAAAGGTCTAGTGTGTGGATAATTTTCTCTCTCTTCATTGACCAGTTGCAGTGGGACAAGAAAGAGGACGATGAGTGGGTTGGGGGTGAGGGTGAGGGTGACGGTGTTGAGTCCCTTGGGGAGGTATAACCAGTTTGGCGGTGGGGGGGGGGGCAGGTACTCCAAGTTTAATTCTGGAGAGAACAAGGCAGTGGTAAGGCCATGAGTGTAATCACTGATGGCCACCAATGCCCCTCCCCGTTTCATGCTTATCAGAACCACACGTCTATCTTAGGGGAGGCATCACGGTGTGAAGTGAAGCTGAATGGCGTGAACCTGGTTCCACTGCAGAAATTCCACGATGTGCTTCTGAAAGCAGGGGCTGGGGGAGCTGGGGAATGGATATGACACTTCTGTAGTGTAAAGTCAGTTTGTTAAGTAGGAAGATTGCATTATTGTTCCCAATTCTTCACCCTCCCCCGTATCCAGGACTGGCTATGTAATTTGCAGGGCCCAGTAAAAAGTGAAAATGTGGGGCTCCGTGATGAAAAGTTATTAGGAATCTTACGAAGCTGACAGCAGAGGATTCAGCCAAAGGTGGGACCCTTCTGAGCGTGGGACCCAGGTGCATCTGCACGGGTGACATGTCCCTGAAGCCGGCCCTGCCTGTACTCATGACCTTTGCATATGATTTTGCAGTTCCTCCTGAGAGAAGCAGAGTATATTTCCCCTCCCTGCTGATGGAGGGCTCTGCCATGTGACAGGATGTGTCCACTGGAATGTGGCTGGGCTTGTGTGTACTAAGGCCTTAAGAGTTACTGGGTGTTTCTGCTCCTTTTCTTGCACTTCTGACATCATCAAGGCCAGCCCTCTGGTGCAAGGAGCATGAGAGGCAGGGGATACAGACCTGAGCCCACCTATAGCTCAGAGCCAAGCGCACTAGATCAGGTGACCCCCAGTCAACCTCTAGATGCATGAGCAAGTATAAATGATTATTGTTTTAGGGCACCGAATTTTGGAGTGATTTGTTATGCAGCATTATTATGGCAATAGCTAACTGATACTATAAGCAT